GCATGGGGAAATATGCCCAGATGTCAAATGTCTGCTCCAATCAATTCAGCCCATTCCACCCATAATTATTTGCTTGTTATAGGAGATTTCCAACTCCTCCATAATGGCTCATTTGAGCCAGGGTAATATTATTCAGGGATTTGACAACATGTGCAAACTCTTTTTGAATTAATTTTCAAAGTCTTTTGTGACTGGTGTCAATTTGGCAACAGCATTCTTTCATATTTGTAGGCTCAAGGTCTAGAGTTTGGAGGTTGTTAAATTTAAGAATTTCCTCTCCAACAATTTCCTTTCACCTTCTAGAAGACAGAGGTACTGTGAGAACCCAAAATATTAGAGTTAAAATAGGGAGAAAGATCTAAGAGTCTGGGGTTATGAGGTTGACTTTTTGACTCTGAAAAGAGCTTTTAATAGCAACACAATTTGAGAGTAAGACTGGAGCTTAGAATCTGCCTCATTCAAGGCCTCTAAAGGCTCAGAATGAATAAGAAACTTTTTACATGTAAACATGGCACTTATTATAGAATGTATCATTTATACTACAGAAAAATCATCATATCTATATTGTACAGAAAAAAATAAATTATAGTGGAGACCAAATATTTGCTGATGTTTAAAAATTCCTTTTAAAAATTATTTATAAAAATTGACCTAAAGGAGACAGAAACATTTCACAACTTAATTTTACTCACTGTCACCCTGAAGAACTCATGAAACTCATAAAATGATATGATCCTCATGCACGTACACTGCATTGGGTTAAGCACAGTATAAAGAAAGCTAAACCACAATTCACAATTGCAAGGATGTGGAAGCTACCCAAGTGTCCATCAATACATGAGTAGATTTATAAAATGTGTTATATGTGTAACATGGAGTACTACATGGCCACAAAAAAAATGGTGATCTAGCACATCTTATATTATCCTGGATGGAGCTGGAAGCCCATTCTACTAAGTGAAGTATCACAAGAATGGAAAAATAAGAACAACATGTACTTACCATCAAATTGGTATTAATTGATAAACACTTATGTGCACATATAGTAGTAACATTCATTGGGTGTTGGGTAGGTGGGAGGCGGGTTGAGGGGTTGAGTATATTCACACCTAATGGGTGCGGTGTGCACTGTTTGGGGGATGGAAGCACTTGAAGCTCTGACTCAGGCAGGGTAAAGGCAATATATATAACCTAAACATTTGTACCCCCATAATATGCTGAAATAAAAAAAAAGAAAGAAAGCCAAAGCAACAAAGTTCTTTTCTAACCAAACATTTTGGTTTTGTATCTAGGGAACTTGGAAAGCTCTGTGACCCAATGTCCCAGAGAGTCTTTTCTCTTTTTTTTGGAGCCTGTAACTAATGTTAGAATTTTGTAGAACAAAGGGAATGGACAGCAGGATTGTGCTTTAGACGGCACAGTATCTTCTTTGCATTAGGCAGTTCATATTGTCGACAGACTCATTAGAGGTACTTTCACAGATACCACTTGTTTTAGTTGGTGATCCACAAATAAGTCCATGAAGATCCTCTACTTATATTTTAAACCTTGGATTAAGGATAAAAAATATGCCTATTTTGTTGTATGATGTATCCAGATGCAATTGCAGGAGTCTATGATCAAAGTTGGGGTTTTAAAATCCAACTTCCTTTTTGGGTATACATTTAACTAAATAATTCATTTAGTCTGGTTTGTAATTTTCTGTGTTAACAATATTATCACCAGTGTTACATCTACAGGAAATTATTTCTTAGGTTCCTATTTTCAAAGGTAAAAGTAACCCTTGTCAATGACAGTTAATCTTATTTGTAGCGTTATTACAAATTTTCTTACATTCTTTCACTTGGGTTATTGTAACACATTTTGGCTAAATGCTTCAGCTATATATACAAAGCCAATTGAGAATTTGGTCAGGGGACTGTCCATTAACATAAGAGAATTATTTTATTTAAAATACAGATTTTAACAAAATGTATAATTGATGGTGCTGTCATAGGAATATCATTTTCTATTATGTTGGTGTTATCTAAGCAAACACACACAATTATTTTTGCCAAAATGTTTGTCTATAATCATGTAGATTTTATTGCAATGTCTTATTAGTTTTTCATTTTCTTTGACATAATAAGATTCAAGGCCAAACAGCTCCATAAAATTAGATTTTATTATCTTCATGTTTGTTAAGTCAAAATTCCTTTCATTAATATTGCTCAAAAACAATTAGGTTTTTGAGGTTTAAATTCCTTTCTTTAATAGAAATGTCTATGGGGTTTGTATTTTTCCAAATAAAAGATATAGCAATGGTGATGATCCACATTTTAAAATATCCAAATTAATTAGAGATTTTTCTAAAAACTCTTAATAGCTTTAATGGAATTACCTATATTTTAGTTGAAAATCTGCAGTTTACAGATAAGATATTTGTCACATGACATACATGAGAAAAGTCCTAGTATATATTGGTCCTAGCAATATATTAGTATTGCTAGGTCCTAGGTCCTAGCAATATATTGTTATTGCTAAACTTTTAAGAGATGAAAAGCCTGGTTTTTATCTCTTATTTCCTTATTGGTTTGATTTCCCAATTTCTCACCATCATCTTGTTTCAAATACATATACTCAAAACAAATTTGGGTCAGTGTCAAACTTGATTTCTTAGATATGATTGCATGTACAGAGAAATGGTACACTATAGAACTATTCAACTGTACCATTTAATTTTTTAATATTTGGAAAAGTACTTAGTCAAATTTTTATGTACATATTATGGGCTAGGTACTTCTAGGTGCTAAAGATACATAGATAAATAAAATAAGTATTCTGATTTTGAGGAAATCACAGTCTGGGATAGACATGTAAAATACTAGTTGCCAAAGCCCAGTATAAGGGCTATAGTGGAAAAAGAAAATTATCTTTTTTTAGTCAAATAATTGAATACTGATAATTTTATATGAACTAGCCAAATACAAAATGATAGAAGAACACAGAAGAGGATGAGAAAAATTTGACTGTGGATATCGACAAAAGTTTCATAGAGATGTTACTTAGGCAATTATCTATGTGACATTTCCTCCCCCCCATTGTTCTCAGCTAAGATCAGTCCATTCTTATTGTAATATCACTCTATTAACTGTAGCTTTATAATGTTTTACTGTGTTTACCTGCTAAGAAAAATTCCTTTCATCACTTTTGTTTTTAAAATGAAAGATTCATAGTTAGCCTTGTTTATTATTCATTCAAAATTTTAGAATAATTTTGCCAGGTTTTGCTTGTCCTAACTACTCAAAAACATCTCATTGAGGTTTTATTTGAAATAATAGATTGTACCTTAAAATTATAAAAGCCATATGTGACAAACCCACAGTCAACATCATACTGAATGGGGAAAAGTGGAAAGCATTCCCTCTTACAACTAGAACAAGACAAGGGTAACCTCTATTACCATATGTATTAAAAAAAAATACTGGAAGTCCCAGCAAAAGCAATCAGGCAAAAGAAAGAAATGAAAGGACAGGAAATCCAAATTGGGAGCAGAAGGGCAAACTATCCCTTTTTGCTGATGATATAATCTTATATCTAGAAATCCCAAAGACTCCACCAAAAGACTTCTAGAATTGATAAATAAATTCAGCAAAATCTCAGGTTATGAAATCAATGTACACAAATCAGTAGCACTTCTATACACTAATAACAGTCCAGCTGAGAGTCACATCAAAGACTCAATACCATTCACAATAGCTACAAAGAAATAAAATGCTCAGGAATATACCTAACCAAGAAGGTGAAAGATCTCTATAAGGAGAACTATGGGAAACATGGAGGAAATAAATCACAGATGACACAAAAGAAAAAACATCCCATGCTCAAGGATTGGTAGAACCAACATTGTTAAAAAGTCCATATTGCCCATACTGTTGAATTTACAGATTCAACACAATCACCATCAAAATACCAATGTCATATTTCACAGATCTACAAAACATAATAATATGCTTCATTTGGAACCGAAAATAAAGGCCCTGAATTGGCAAAGCAATCTCAAGCAAAAAATAAATCTGGAGACATCAAATTACTAAACTTCAAATTATACTATAAGTCTTTAGTAACCAAAACGGCATGCTACTGGTATAAAAGTAGCGACATAGAGCAATGGAGCAGAATAGAGAACCCAGAAATAAAACAATCTACCTACAATCAACAGATCTTCAACAAAGTAGACAACAATATACATTGAGGAAAGGAAGCCCTATTCAATCAATGGTGCTGGAAAAATTGGATAGCCACATGCAGATGGTTCTCACAGGATCCACCTCTCTCACCACTTACAAAAATTAATTTAAGATGGATAAAGGAATTGAATGTAAGGCATCAAACCATAAGTATTCTAGAAGAAAATGTAGGAAAAACTCTTTTAGACATCAGCATAGGCAAATAATTTGTGACTAAGGACCCCAAAGGCAAATACAAACAAAAATAAGTAAATGGGACTTAAAAAGCTTCTGTACACTGAAGGATAATTGACAGAGTAAATAGACAACCTACAGAATGGGAGAAAATATTTTCAAGCTATATATATAATAAAGGGTGGGGGAATAAGACTGGGCAGGGCTGGGTTGGGTCAGCCTGCACTCAGGCCTCACAAAAGCTGGGAAAGTAGGTGTTTTGGTGGGTGTCAAAGGTCTGCTCTCAGGCTTCTAAGGAAAGCCACCACAGAGGGGCTAAGGGGGTCCTACCCAGCCAAAAATTCTGTTTGTGGAGGCAGGGGCCATCTGAGATCCCATAGCCTGGCTCTCAGGAATGGGTTTGTCTCTTCTCTCCTTCCCCTTCTTCACAGTCTCCCTCTGGTGTCTGCCAGAAGGCAGAAGCTCACACTTGTAGAGGTCCCCAAAATGGCACTGTGGGCTGGGAGCTTCCCTGTCCAGGATCCCACTCTGGGTTGAGAGTGTAGCTTTCCTGTGGGGAGAGGGACGCTTCATGAATGTGCTGTGGCTGGGACTCACACTATGTTTTCTTCAGTTCTGTCTAGATGGGCTCCCTTGCCTCCTGAGATTAGTTCACAAATCTCCCCTCCATGACACGGAGCAACATGATTGAGTCCTTGGGATATAGGATCTGGACTGTGGGCCTGTTCTTGGGTCCCTAAAAATCACTCCCTGACCATGCCAGGGAGAACTGTGTTGGTCTTGAGTTGCCTATGGAGTGCTCCATCTGCTTCAGAATGTTTTCTGCTCTGATGGAGTAGCTGGGCAACCAGCATGAGAGAGGGCCAGTGAGCAAAGAGCTCATAATTCCAGCATCCCTTAGTCCTCTGCAGGTCTTTAAGAGGAAATGTTTGAGCCCCACTCTCTGTGGAAGCCCCAACAGAGAGGAAGCAGCAGCTCCTGTCAGCTCCGGCTCAAGCATCTCAAGCAGCCACAGATGGGGAAGGGAAGGGAAGGAAAGGAAAAGAGTCTAAATATAAGAAAGCTAGCACTCTTGTCATTTCTGTCCCTCTTTCCAGGAGGCAGCCCACCTGGGATGTCCAGGCTCTGGAGTCATGTAGATCCCTCAGGACCCACTGGCCCCCTGTGTTTCCCAGAGTCTGGGCCGGAGTTGGGAAATGTTAGTGTGGGAATGAGCAAGATGAAAACTGAGGAGCTGAAGCCCCTTGGGTAGCACAAAGGTACACAGTGGGTGGAAAAGCAATACAGTGCCTGTCATCTTGGCTCGGGTCCGAAGTACCCCAAGGGGGATGGCAGTCTGGTGCTTTGTCCTCAAAAAGCTTCCAGTTCACTGGCAGCTACAGCTATTTGGCTTGTGAGGGTAGAAAGGTCTCCAGCAGCTCAGGGTCCTGCTGACTGCCAGAGATATGAGGGAGGGAGAAACAAACCTACATTTGCCCTTTTTGCTGAACTTCCAGTCTCTCTGGGGTTGTCTTCTTCCAATATCTTGTTCTGTCTTGTTCTGCTTTACAACTTCTTCCCATGGAAACTCTTGTAGGTTCTGACACTTTTCCTTCAGAATTATACCCAATGTATGATTGTTTGCTTGTTCTTTTTTTTGCTTTTTTTTATTTTAGCATATTTTGGGGGTACAAGTGTTAAGGTTACTTATATTGCCCATGTCCCTCTTCCCTCCTCGAGTCAGAGCCTCAAGTGTGGCCATCCCCCAAATGTTGCACATCTCACTCATTGTGTTTGTATATACCCATCCTTTCCTCCCCCTCCCACCTGCCTGATACCCGATAAATGTTATTCCTATATGTCCACTGAGCTGTTGTTCCATTAATACCAATTTCCTGGTGAGTACATGTGGTGCTTGTTTTTCCATTCTTGAGATACTTCACTTAGTAGAATGAGTTCCAGCTCTATCCAGGAAAATACAAGAGGTGCTATATCACCATTGTTTCTTAAAGCTGAATAGTACTTCATGGTGTACATATACCACATTTTATTAATTCACTCATGAATTGATGGGCACTTTGGTTGTTTCCACAACTTTGCAATTGTGAATTGTGCTGCTATAAACATTTGAGTGCAGGTGTCTTTTTTCATAAAATGACTTTTGATCTTTGGGGTAGATGCCTAGTAGTGGAATTGCTGGATAAAATGGTAGATCTACTTGTATCACTTTAAGGTATCTCCATATTGCTTTCCACAGAGATTTAATTAGTTTGCAGTCCCACCAGCAGTGTAGGAGTGCTCCTATCTCTCCGCATCCACGCCAGCATTTATTTTTTGGGGACTTTTGATAAAGGCTGTTCTCACTAGAGTTAAGTGATATCTCATTGTATGTTTGTTCTTTTTAATCAAAATCTTTTCCTTCTTTTTGAGATCATCTGGCATCTGGTGTCTCTGGTCAGCTATTTTCTCTGTCCAAATATTTTTCTTGTAAAACATAATTTTAATGCATGATAAAGCTCATGCTTCAAGGAAGCATTGACTCAAAGCCATCTGCAGGAAGCAATAGTAGTCATCATGGTTTCTGGTGGGTCTAATGCAGTATTCAGGAATTGATTTTGAACAGAAGCTTGAATGAGCAATAAGTTTCTAGATAGGCAAAAAGGAAGAGAAGCATTATTGAAATGTGAAATAGAATGTGAGGAAGTGTGAATTAATGGCTCTAGAATACAACCAAAGAGAGCTATAGTACTTTCAATTAAGAAAGTATTCAAATTCTTCATGGCCTTGTCCTGATACTGAGAACAAGTCAACAAAGTTTTTGAATAAGAAAAAGATAGCCATTTTATGTAGATTGAAGATAACTCTGGTATGAGGTAAATGTTGGGCAGAGAAAATATGAGGAGAAAACTTTAAGGGGATTGCTGCAGTACCACATTAGGTAGAGATGATGAGATTTTAAACATAAAGATATTAGGGAAAGAACATATTCAGTCTATGTTTCTAAGGCAAAATTATGATTTATTGGCTATGGAAGATGTTGAAGATTGTGCTGATGTTTCCAGCCAGTGGGTAAATGGTTTTGTCTTTAACAAAGCTATAAAAAGGGACGAATCCTTTGTGTTAGCAGATCCAGGAAATATAAAGGGGGTAATTAGTTTGTAGAGAAAAATAAGGCTTGATTTTGTGACAGAGTTTGATGTACCTGTGTTCATTCATACTGTGAAGTTCAATAGATAGTTGGAAATGTATGCTTGGAGTTCAATAGATCTGGGCTGGAGATACAGAAACTATAACAATTGTGAGCAAATAAAGTGAAAAACAGACCAAAGATGGAATCCTTAGTAACACCAATATTGAAGAGGAAAAAGGAGAATGAGGTAAGCTAAAGGTGATAAGAATAAACGGGTTAAGAAAAGGGAAGGAAATACAAGAGAATGGAGTTATAGTAACCATGAGAGAGAGTTTAAAGAAGAAAGACATTTGGTATAATTCAACATTCATTCCCAGTAAAAAATGTCTTAGCATCTTGGACGAAAAGACTAGAATGAAGCTTCTCTACATATAGAACTCTATAGCTAATCAACAGTAAACAAATTTCACACTCAAGGAAATACTTGAGTCATTTCCTTAAATTGAGAACCACAGAAGGATGCCTTATATGCTGAGCTATCTGATAACAATTTGGCAGGGTCCTCCATCATGTTCTGAGGTCTACTTTGCATATTGCCAAGGAGAACTCAGGAGCTATAAATCCAAGAATCCCATTCTCCATATGGGTCTGGTTTAGAGTCTACAAATAAGAAGCAGTCAGATAAAATTTGGAGGATGGGAAGGAAGAAGAGACTCTTTTTCCCCAGAGGAAATTACAGTCACAGGCATAGGAAAAGAGAATATTTCAACAAATAAAATATGTTTTGGGATAAAAAGACAATATCATAAAGACATGAACTCTTCAGAGCAGAATTTATGCAATAAAATTTATTAGGCATATTTGAGGGTGGAAAAAAGATAATTTGATAAAGTGACACAAATGTGGAAAAATGTATTTGTGAGAGTAGCCAATAAAAAATTAGAAGAAAATGAGAGAAACTTGCTAGATGAGTTGACAAAGAATACTTAGGGAAATATTTCTACCTATTGTTTTAAAATAGGGTAGTACTTGCCAAAAAAAATGGAATATGGTAAAATGCTCTCCAAAACAAACTCAGATATATTTAATAAATTATAATGTTAAAAGGATGGTGTTTTAAATTGGTGGAAAACAAATAATCTATAAATAGTGCTGGGGCATTTGGACAACCATATAAAATGAGGTGAAATCTCTCCCTCATACCACACACCAAAATAATTGAATATGAATTTAAGAGTTTAATATAAAACATAAAGCAATAAAATGATAAAGACTATCCACCGAAAATTTTTTTAAATATTGAAGTTAAATGGCCCTATTAAACATAAAATCAAAAATAACAGCTATTGTTCACTAAGCAAGTTCTTTGTTCCATACATTGTGTCACGTTCTCTATTTGCAAAAACTTACTTAATCCTCACAAGAAACCTAGAGAGTAGTAGTGGATTAGATTCATTTTTGAGAAAAGAAAACCAAATCATAGAGAAATTAAACTTGTCCATGGACATTCAGCCAGTGGTGACAGAACCATGAGAACCGTGTTTCCCCATGGAAAATAAGACAGGGTCTTATATTTATTTTTCCTCAGGAAGACACCCTAGAGCTTATTTTCAGGGGATATGTTATTTTTTTAAGTACGGTACAACAATCTACATTTATTCAAATATAGTTAAGTCATCGTCTTCTGGAACATCATCATAACTCTCCAAACCCCGAATTCCATCTTGAATTTTTTGCAACTCTATTTCCTTTAGAAGCATTGACTCCAATCTCTCACGTTGAACAAGAGAGCTCTCATGGGGCAGATGAGAAGGGCTGATAGTCTTCTTTACTGTTCCTCAACGAAATGCATGAGTTGTGCAGATACACTGCTGCGTAGCCACTACGCAGCACTACGTCTTATTTTCGGGGTAGGGCTTATATTGCACAAATGCTTAGAAATCCTGCTAGGGCTTATTTTATGGGTAGGTCTTATTTTTTGGGAAACATGGTAATGAAGTCTTGCCCTAGAGTTGATACTTTTACATGACTTTGAAACCATGACACTGAAAAGCACTATAAACAAAATGAAAAATTATATGACTACTGATAATTTGCAATGTATGTGGAAAGGGGATAGTATCTATGATAAATAAATAGCACTTTCACGTTAGTAGGAAATTGATGAACACATCATTAGTAAAATGGGAAAAGAATATAAACTGGTAGTTCTAAAAAGTAGAAAGTCATATGACCAATAATTACACAGAAACATCTCAGTCTCCTATGGTGGAAGCTGTTTTGGTTGTCTTCATACCTCTCACTGAACTCCCTTAAAAATCCCCACCCATATGCCCTCAAAGCAATGTTCAAACAATGTATATCAACTGGACCAGTGATGGGTGGGCATCTAACTCAAGTCAAACCAACCAAAATTCCACGTCCACAAGTTGAGAGTCAGTCTTACCACACATATGGTTTTGTAACAGAAACTCAGAAAACTTAAGTGACTATGGGCTGCCATGCAGATTGGGAAGTAAAAAATCTAATTAGCAAGGAAAAGAGAAGAATAAGCAGATTCACAGAAACTTTCAGAGTTGACAGGCTACAAATTACACTTTTGGGGTTACTGTGGCCTTTCTAGGCCCTGGTTTGGTTCCAGTCTTTGCTGAGCCTCTGGTGTGCTTATGCCCTGTGTTCTGGGAGACACAG